TGGCTTTTTAGACATGGTATCTGCTGGGTATATTGGGAAAAACTGCCCTCTTTTGCATTTCTCAGTGAGTTTTTCAGCAAGTAGACTTTTTTTTTTCCACTCACAATGATTGTAACAGGATTTTATTCTCCTGCAGCCAGCTGTTAGCAATTAGCAACTTGATCCATTCAGTCCTGAGAACGGAGTTTAACACTTTCTTGCCTCTGTGAGGATGTTGCTAATCCTGGTTTGGGCTTCTGCTGTAGTTTTGGCACTTTCTGTGTGTGCATGGGCAGGTTGGGAAGAAAGGTGTGAGTACAGCAAGGGACTCTAATGCAGCTGAAAGAGCTACAGAGAGAAGCGTTGAGCCGTCTACCCAGACAAAATCATTAGGGAGATGATTTCCAAGCAGTTTGTACAGAGGCTTGTGTTTAGTAGTACCTTCCAGTGTGTTCTAGCACTTGGAAATGGGCAGTTTGGAAATCAGTCTACTACTAGCTGAGATTTTAGACTCAGCAGAAATCAGTATCAGTAGTTCTTCAAACAGCGAATTCTGGCAGTGCGAACTCCTGAGTGGATCTGAGGCCCCTCTAAATTATGAGACAGGGGTGAAAAACACTCTTGGTGTCCTTGTTCAAGAGAACAACAGCTGCTGGAGAGGACTGGAAGTTGAGAAATTACTGTTTGCTCCCTGTGTGCAGCACCTCTCCCATGCGCTTTGGTGGTACAAGACTGGGAACCAAGTGTGCTGGGAAGAACAAGCCCAGCACAGCCTGAACCCGGCTGCTGGCGTCCCTGTGTAGGGCTGAACCCAGCAGGAAATAGCTTGGAAATAGTTCGTCACTGCCACGTACAAAGGTGAGAACTTGTCTTGCCAAACTGTGGCCACCTGGGTATGATGAGGCTATTCCAGGCCAGCCATTTAGGTTCCCTCTATCATCAGTAGAGATAGACACATCCAGAGAGGATTCATCCTACTCATCTTGGATGCTCTATAGTCAAGGGCCAAATTCAAAGCCAGCTGTTGTAGGCACAGAGCTGCAGACAGGCTTTAGAGCCATCTCTGAAGCTTTTCTTTTTTTCTTCTGGAGGCCATGATGATCTCTATGGCCACATCTTCTGGTTTTGGCTTGCAGTTCTCCCAAGCTGTGCTATTTTTGTGTGACGTGCTGAGCTCCACATAGCCATCAAGTCCTGAGAAGCGTCTGGTTCACAGGGTGCTGGCTGTCTGTGGGACAGACAACTGTCTGTGCTGCCACAGCCCATACCTTTCCTCCAGTACTGGGGCAGGAGCTGACATGGTGCTTGGGCATTTTTGTGTGACTTTCCTTGTCCACCCTCCATCTCTTTCCTTCTTCCCTCTTGTTATTTTTTACATTCTGATTTCTGCACTCAAGCAGTTACAAATGATGTGACTGGCTATGTGGCAGCACAATAAGTGTGACTTAGAACATGGCGTGAGCTTTGCTTAAAGCAAATGGGCACTTAAATTATGGTGTTTGGTCTGTACCTGGTCAAATGAGATAATGGTACTGTTTTTGTTGCATTTATTATATTGCTGTGACATTGGCCATTGTCATGACTTGCTTACGTGTCATTTTGAGAAGATGAGACACACTTAGCACAACTGCTCTTTTGTCAAAAGACAAAATCCTTATGCAAAGTCTTAGCTTAGTACCTTTCGCTGGGCAGTGAGCTCTGCGCTGGTGGCAGGGCATGAGAGCTCCTTTGTCCCTGTGCTCTGCTGCAGGCATCTCCCTCCCTGCTTTTGATCCTTCTTTGCTGGGCTTTTGGATCAAATGGAAAGCCATGGCATTTGAAAACTTAGTGATGTCTGGGGTTGCTCTCATTTCTTTTTTGCTTTGACAGCAGGCTCTGGTCCTCACCTAGCCATGTATGATTGCTGTTTCAGTGCTTTCTCCCCATCCTTTCCCTTAGCCCTGGCCACGTTACAGAGGGAAATCGCAGGGTGTTTTGGTGGGAGGTAGCCTGTGCCTTGGCGGATCCCCTCCTGGTTTGCCAGGCTCTGTTGGTAGGCTCTGAAGGGGGTGATGAGGGTGTGGACCATAATGTGTGCTTGTCCTCTGCTATCTGAGGGCTCCAGTACAGCAGGCAGCTTTTAAACCTCCAGCTGAGAAGTCACCTGGGAGGTAGTTCCAAGCTGCTGTTCTCCTGCCAGGATCTCCTCAGCAACTTGCAGCTCTGTTCAGTGACTGGTCCAGTATGGGGACCCAGCGGAAAGATCTCCTCTAGCCCAGGCTATACCCACATAGCACAGCTGATCTGGGCAGACACCTGGGTCATGGTCAGGGTACCCCATGTACCACCAAACAGTGCTCTGCTGTGTTTCTCATCATCTCCTCCAGGAAGCTGGTTAAAGTTAAAGCCTTAATGTTCATGACGCTTTCCTTTCTAAGGTCTGGTGGGAAGAGAGTCTTCTCTAGTGCTGAACTCTCTGCAGTTCTCTTTGTGAGTCCTGGTCTGAGAGTCTCCGGGGCACCCTAGCAAATCACCTGCATAGATTAACATCCACCAGGTCTGTCTTCAAACTTTGCGGTAAAAAGAGAATCATAGAATCATTAACGTTGGAAAAGACCTCCTAAGATTATCAAGTCCAACTGTCAACCCAACACCACCATGCCCCCTAAACCATGTCCCGAAGTACCCAATTGCCATGTTTTTTGAACACCTCCAGTGATGGTGACTCCACCGCCTCCCCAGGCAGCCTGTTCCAATGTTTGACCACTCTTTCAGGAAATAAATTTTTCCTAATACCAGTCTAAACCTCCCCTGGCGCAACTTGAGGCCGTTTCGTCTCGTCCTATTGCTGGTTACTTGGGAGAAGAGACCAACACTCACCTCGCCACAACCCCCTTTCAGGTAGCTGTAGAGAGCAATGAGGGCTCCCCTCAGCCTCCTCTTCTCCAGACTGAACACCCCCAGTTCCCTCAGCCGCTCCTCATCAGACTTGTTCTCCAGACCCCTCACCAGTGTCATTGCCCTTCTCTGGACACGCTCCAGCACCTCAATGTCCTTCTTGTAGTGAGGGGCCCAAAACTGAACACAGCATTCGAGGTGCGGCCTCACCAGTGAGTGAGTACAGGGGCACAATCACTTCCCTACTCCTGCTGGCCATGCTGTTGCTGATACAGGCCAGGATGCTGTTGGCTGCCTTGGCCACCTGGGCGCACTGTGTAAGAGTACACCTAAGCCATGAGCCACCAGCTCATAGGAATGTCTACAAAGCCTCCCTCCGCATGGCTACAAGAAGTCTCTGCTCCATGGTACTTGGATGGTGGGAATCAGTGTGTTTGCATTGGATGTCACTACATCCCCTCCATTTCAGGGGGGAAGGACTACCTCGAATGCACATACAGCTGGAGAGTGCTTGGTTGAAACCTGTCTTCTGATTGCCAGACCCTCCTGCTGAGATGTGGGTTGCCTTTTCTCTCCAGTACTTTGCTTTTGTTCGCTCGCTGTCCAGGATGCCAGAAAAATCACAGAACCTTGTTGTCACCCCCTCCCAGCCTTGGCCAGGGTGCTGACACAGAGCACAAGAGGTGGCTGAAGCAGGAGTGGTCCTGGGAATTTTAAGGTCTTTTTTTGGGGTTGCTTGCATTGTTGCGTGGCTGGGCACAGTGCTGCTGGGCAACATTCACTGATCGTTAGTTTCCTCTCCTGCATGTGTGTTTGGCTCGTTTCCCAAGAAGGCCTTTAGTTGTTTTTCAGGCTCAGAGCCATCTTTTCTGATGGAATCCAGCAGGGACAATGGCCAGTAGCAAATCCTTAGGAAAGAGAATAAAAACAGGGCAAGCCTCAGTGATTCTAACCCTGATTTAGCTTCTGGGTGTCCAGCGATCTCTGGGTGAGGGATTTCCTGAGCCAATGCTTTTACCTTTGGGTTTAAGAAGCCGTGGTGTATCTTTCTGTTGTGAATACATCCAATTGTTTTGGTATCCATGGCAGCTCACAGCTATGATTTGTGCAGTTTAATTATGTTGGGTGGAAAAAATATAGCCTTTTGTTACAAATCCTTGAGCTAATGGCATCTGATGCTCTTGCAGGCATGTATGAACTAGCATAGTGATGGTCCCTTTTATATCCTCTCTTCCTTTACTAACAAATTCTAACATTCAATTTTGCCTTTTTACTACCACTCTGAGGATTCTTGAGCAAACACCCTCTGGTCCTGGCAACCTTTCATTTATGGATTTGTTCTGTTTTCTTTTTGCCTGACATTTCAATATGAGACAGAGCCTCTAACCTATCTTTCTATAAAGCTATCTTCCAGGATGGGAACCTCCTGAGGGTCTTTGTGTAGTGAATGCAGACACAAAGAATTCACATAACTGCTGATATGACCTTGTGTTCTTTTAGGTGTTATCATGGCTTTCCGCTGAAATTGCCAGCATTTAAGCCCTTTGCTATTTTCCTTGTTTCCAAACAGGAAATTAAGTGTGCTCGTGTGTGTGAGTGCACATGGTCTTCTGGCAGCAATGTGGACATGTAGGGAGAGATTATTTTCACCCTGTTTTAGGCGTTTGTCTTAAGGTTGTGTGACTAGTTCCAGAGTGCCCACTTGGCTACTTGGAGTAGACAGCTGGTGCAGACAGAGGTGTGCGTTGGGTGGATAAGCCCTGCTTGGGGAGCCTGGCTGGACTATCCAGGTTTGTTGTAGATGCAGCTTCAGTACTTGTTAATATTGTAAGGAACGTGAAAGATCGATGGCAGAGAGATTACTTTGCACTGGACTTGTTTAAGAGTAGTTAGTAGAGTATGTCTGTACAGTAGTCATGGCAGCTCCTAAAAGCTGAATTACATTAATAGCTTTAGAGATGGTACAGGTAGTCAGACAATTGTTAGTTCTTCACTAAGCCTCTGATGGGTCAGAGTAGGGCTGAGGTCAGGACACTCTTGAGGGCATGGAAGATTGTCATTACCTTGTGATGGGTTAGGCAATATTAGCAAGTCTGCAGCACAGAGAAGTCCTGTCTTTGGAGGACTCTCATCTTCTCTCTTTGCTTTGTCTTTCAGAAATGTAGATGGCAGCTGCTGTCTTTGAAGGAGTCGCAACCATCTGACCCTGCGCAGCGCCTACGATTGCTACCATGATCTTCTGCATGCTGCTGTTGGCCTCACTGCTTGAGCCATCTGGCACCGAAGTCAACCCTGGTAGGGAGCTGCCATGCTGGGAGAGGACTCTGATCTCCCACCTTTAATATGCTTGTTCTCAGCCTTTCTTTGTCTGTCATGGTCAATGCATATGAATGTGACGGACATAAATATAATCACTAATGTAGTTCCTGAATGTCCTCCTCTGGACTGAGATGGCCAGTCTTCCTTGACAGCTGTAGTGGAGGGAGACATCTCTCCTGACAGTCCCAGGAGGGATCAGGCACATGGATATATTCCTTTCTCTGCTTACCCAGAGGGTCTGTACTCTCAGCAGGCCTGTCTTGACCTCTGATTATCCCTGTCATGTGGCCTGCAGAGCAAACCTGGCCCTAGACTGGCTTAGAGATACAATGCTCACTGTGGAAAGCGAATTACCAGTCAGCAAAGCATAAGCCATAGCTCTCCAGCCAGCAGGAGGGATTCTGGAGAGAGAAGTGTGGAAGGAAAGGTAGAAACCCTACCTGGCACAAAGCTAGGGTAGAGACAGGGATGATATGAACCTACGAGTGTCTGTGGAGGGCATGACCTCTTAATACTACAACATTTGGCAAGTTATAATCATGATGGAGACAAGTCAGATAATGGTCTGCAATATATTGCAAAAAATCCCCATAATGAGGTGGTTTGAGCTGGAAACAGTCTGTGAAATAAATGAGTCTAATTCTTTTGCAGTTTGGCTGAAGGTGTGGTGAGGCAGCAGTGCTACCCTGAGGGCCTTCATTCGCTCTGCTGGGTCTGGCTCTGTTTGGAGCCTTTTGTGTCTGGCTCTGACCCTGCTCTGGCCTGTGGATCTCTGCAGAGGTTTGAGGGTTTGCTGCAACGAGCCAGATGTGAAGTGAGTCCTGTGGTGGAGCTCAGCAGACACTCCTGTGCTCCCCCATTACAGAGCCATTCCCTGCACTGTACACCCCCCACACATCCAGCTTTGAACTTGGGGTACCATCTGGTTCTGTTGGTTAAAACCTAGTGGAAGAAGAGGGAAGATGGCAGCTAGAGGGTCAGTCACACACAGATTCCTTTTGGTGGTGGTAAGTACAGAAATTAGCACACTTGAAGGTGCAGGAATAGCTTCCCTACCACCAGATCCTGGGAGGTGGGATGGGCGCTGAGCACAGGGCTGTGGTCCCTCCCTCCTCCAGTAATCTTTTGCCACCAAGAAATAGGCATGTAGCTTTGCTCACACTTCTCAGTTCTGCCTGTGACTTCCTCAAGCAGCTTTGCTTTCTCAGCTCCCACAGCTGCTCAGCTGCCTCGCTGCCCCAAGGGGCCATGCCCTCCTGTTCCCAGCCAGGCTCCAGCACACCCAGAGCCCAGCTGATGCTCCTCGGCTGTGGTGCCCACAGGCTCCATTGATTATCCTGACCTCCTCATCTGCTCCAGGAGTGGTCTGAAGCACCTCCTGCATTGCTTTCTAAACCAAAAGGGCTGCTTCATGGATGATTTCAGACCTATGTAGGAAGGATCCTGTGGCGTCCTTTTGCCTAGCATCAGTTGTTTGACCTCACTAACAGAGGTGAGCTGTGACACTTTTCTGAGCCTCAGTGTATGCTGTCCGCATGGCAGGTGAGTGTGTCCATGCGTGCATAGTAAAGGGTCAGGGATATCTGAGCAGGAGTCCTGGTGGCACCTAAGCAGAACCCAAGGATGGTTTTGCTCCAGAGGATGTGCATTTTGGTGAGAGCCTCATGCTGCTTGTTTTGGTGATAGCCATGGCTACCTGTAAAGCGTATCCCGTGATGCCAGGGACACTCTGGCTTCCATCTTGTCCTGGTTTCAGCTGGGATAGAGTTAATTTTCTTCCTAATAGCTGGTATAGTACTGTGTTTTGAATTTAGTATAAGAATAATGTTGATAACACTGATGTTTTTAGTTGTTGCTAAGTAGTTGTAGTGCTTGTACTAAGTCAAGGACTTTTCAGCTTCCCATGCTCTGCCAGCGGGGAGGTGGGCAAGGAGCTGGGAGGGGACACAGCCAGCACAGCTGACCCAGGCTGGCCAAAGGGATATTCCCTGCCATGTAACATCATGCTCAGCGTATGAATTGGAGTTGGCTGGTGGGCAGGAGTCACTGCTCAGGGACGGGCCATCGATCACCAGGTGGTGAGCAATTGTTGCATTGTGCATCACTTGTTTTTGTTTATTATTTTTGTTGTTGTTATATTTCCTCTTTCTCTGCTGTCCTGTTAAACTTTTTATCTCAACCCGTAAGGTCTTTTTTTCCTCCGGTTCTCTCCCCAATCCCACCTGGGGAGGGGGCAGGGAGTGAGTGGCTGCATGGTGCTTAGTTGCTAGCTGGGGCTGAACCATGACACATCTGCCAGCCCTGGGTTTGTGAACAAATGAGTTTTGTTAAGGATTGCAATAAAACCCAACTAGCTAGCTCGCAGTCTGGTATTGCTGTAGGGTGTGCACTTGACCTTTAAATAAGGTGTGGCCAGACAGGACTCCCACTGCAGAAACACAAAACAACTTTCTGCTTTCAGATGATGACCCCATCCTTTTGGAAAACCTTCAGATGATTACCCATAGTTCAGCAACATACTAGCTTTCCAGCAGTAGATCAGATGGTACTGGTCTGTGGTGGGACAGGTAAGAGTGAAGACAGTTGGGGCTAGTTTGGCTCACTAAACTGGCTGTTCAGTATCAGAGCAGGGTTAGAGCTCTCGGTTGGCTTTCAGCAGCCACAATCATCATGCTTGATCCCAGCCAGACACCAGCTGCCTCCCAGTGAATTCTTCTGTAAACCTCTTCTGTAATTCTTCTGTAAAATTCATCTGTAAGGCCTCTTAAGAAACCATATGTTCTGGGTGAGACCAGAGGCCTATCCAGCTTGGTGTCCTGACCAGCAGGTCCCATCCCTGCTGGTTCTGGAAGAGTGCACAGATGGGCAGGCACACAGCAGTGCATTACCCCAGGTGTGCGCTCGGTTCGCCGCAGTCTGCTGCTGAGGAGCTTTCTGAGCTAACACTTGTGTGTTTGCCTGTGGTAGCTGTGAGGCTGTCTAGCTGATTTTTGAACCCATGTGAACCTTTGGCATTTGGATTGTTTTAATAGATTAAGGATGCATATGTTGTTTTTGAGCTGTGCTGTCTGATCTTTCGATGCCTCCTGGTTCTGGTGTTTTGAGAGACAGGGAATAATTGCTCAGGATATAAATGACCTTTGTCATACTCCACTTCAGTAATCTCTTTTGCAGTGATGAGGCTGTTATCTTTCCTTTTGCATCATCTGTATTGCCGTCTCTGCCTTTTGATGGGCGAAGGAAGGAGTAAGGGCTCTAGTCCGTATCTGACTGGCATCTGACCGTGAATACAGACAGTGGTGTAATGGTGTTTTCTAGTTTGTTTTGTATGTATTCCCATAATTAGCTGTTTTCCATCTTAAACAATCTGGTATTATCAGCAAACATTGTCACCTCACCACCCATCTCCTTTACAAGGTTATTTAGGAATATATAGAACATCACACATTCATCCATGCTGTGCCTGACAACAGCTACAGCCAAACCCAATTGAAACAACCTCTGCTTGCAAACGTTGCTCCACTGCAATCTGTCAGGTAGTAACTCGCCTCTGATGGTTTGTTCTGTGCGGTGGTAACAACCAGGTGGGTTTCATGCTTCTGTCTTGTAGCTTCTGAACCTGATGAACAGCTTTATCCAACTTTGGTACAAGGGTAGCAGTCCTGAGGTAGAGAAATGAGGAAGACTGCCAAGGCAGTGGCCTTGCTGAGGCAGGCAGAGCTGCCGATCTGGCAGCAGGCAGCGCAGCAGTGAGGGTGCCAGCCGACACGACACGCGTGCCGCTCGAGTGACTGGGGCATGTGCTGGCACTTGCCTGTGTCCCTGCAGGCAGGGCAGGAGTGGGGGCTGTTGTGATGGGGCTGCTGTGAGCTCAGAGGACAAAGACCAAAAATCTATAGGAAAGGGCATTTCCTTTTTTTCTGGGACTTGGCAATGACTATGTTTTTGTCCTTTAATTGTTTCATGATTTAATGCCGTGTAACTTTCTTTTTAATCTGCTGTTGATGTCAGTCTGACAAAAATATCTTGCTTGCCTGTTTTGAATACTGAGCCTTAATGAACACATTAAGATTTTGACTTTTCTGAATCATCTTTAATATTTCAAGATGTGTTTAAAAACTTGTGTCAGGGGAGAGAGCCTGGCCAGCTTGGATTTACATCTGCACTGTCTTTGGTGTATTGAGCTTGTAGAGCTCCATGACTTGAGTCATTTGTGTCTATACTCGGCAGAGGCACCATGTTTGAGAGTCTTCTCATGCCTGGAGAGAAATGCTTGCTCCACTTCAGGCTAGAGGCAGGGAACAGACCAGCATGGGGCAATGTGGGTGGTCAGGGGCTTGGGCTCAAATGTGAGCTCTCACCTGCAGTGACAGGACAGAGCAGATGTTTCCATAAACTAGTTTAGTAATCTGTAATAGAAGCTGTTTAACTTCTCTTGTTACTGGACTAGTGAAAACAATAATAGTTGTTCTTATTTGAATGCAAGTCAAGTATCCAGTTTATTCCAGAGGAAGAAAAATCTTTAACAAATTCTTCCTTTTTATGTCACATCATTATTGGTAAATAATTTTTCATTGTAAAATAGGTCTGTGCAACCAGTAACACTAGTATGGTTTTGGCTTTCATGTTCTTAAAATGTTTCTTTGTAGAGTTTTTTGCCTTTCTAGGACTCTGCTGAACAATACTCTTGAGTGTATTTCATTACTTATTTCAGTTTATGGTAATTATTTCATACTCTTTATTTGCATTCTGTATTTTATCATTACCATATTTATTCCCTAGGCATTGATAGCCTTTAATTAAACTTGTCTGGCAATTTAGAAAGAATTGGTACTGATTTTTTTACTTGCTTTTGTTCCCATTTTCAGCTATATGCCGTTACCCTTTGGGTATGCATGAAGGCACAATACGGGATGAAGACATCACTGCTTCGAGCCAGTGGTATGATTCCACAGGACCCCAGTATGCACGGTAGGTTAATCTCTAACAAAAAAATGTAATCCTTTTTTTTCTTTTAGGTGTCTAGTATGTGATTGAGGAAGAAGTGCCCTCACCCTTAAAGCAACCTTAAGTTTGCTTAGCTTGTTTACTGCTTCCATATTAAATCTAATTAGTGCATAGTGAAAGACCAAGAGGCAGTGGTCGTGATCACAAGCTGTAATACAGCAAATTCTGAATCAATATTAGGAAAAAAATTTCATTCCCCATGAGAATGAAGTGGTGGAGCTCTCGGACAGGTACCCAGAGATGTGATAATGTCTCAGTGTTCGGAGATTTTCGGGACGTGGCTGTACAAGTCCTTGAGCAACAAACTGTGGTTTTGGAAATAGTCCTGCTGTGAGCAGGAGATCGGGCTAGGGACTTCCAGAGGTTGCTTCCGACCCTGGTCTTCCTATAGTTCTGCAAATAAATGTCTAATGGATTTATGACTTAAGGTCAGTTTAGGGACAGTGCCCCTGGGATTCTTGTAGAGTGCTTTAAACTAAATCATAGGAAATCATTTACAAGGATGAACTTTTCAACAGCATCGTATTGAGGAAATGGGCTGTGTCCACTTTGACTCAAACCTAAAAATTGCATAGTTAAGCAATTGTTAAAAAGCAGCTAAAGGATTTTCTTTCAATGTCAAGCAGTACTACAGTCTTTCTCATAAGCTTGTTTTTTTGTGTTTTTGTAATTTCATTTTTCTTAAATTATTATTATTATTAATATTAACTATTAACTGATTATTCGTAAACAAATGTAAGCTTCCTTAGAATTGTTTATAATGATGATATCGAACGTTCCTACAGTTTTGGTGTGAGTCAGATATGAATTTCAGGTTAACTAATGATACTTATATGTTTATGATGAATTTACACAGTCCAAAATCATAAAATTCTCCTAATGCTTGAATATTATTTTTTTTCTTCGTCTGCGGTAGAGCAAAGATGCTAAGTGTCATGTCTTTTAACAGAGTTTGAACAAGCCTGTGAGCCTGCAAGCTGAGAGACTTATTTTGTTCTGTGTGTCTGTCTTATCTCCAGTTCTGCAAATAACTGCAAATACTTCAGGCATCACTTACCATCTGTTACCATCATCTCTTTGCCAGGGCAGCTGGATGTCCACAGGGTGAAGACATGAAGGCACCCTCTAACTGACTTAATTTTGTTAGAGGTCATAGTTGTTGTATGCAGATGTCTGTCCATGTCATTTCAGAGTCACCTTCCTGCCTTTATTATAACTTCTTTTACTTGGCACTTCACCATAAGAAAGTCTGGCACAAACAGCTAACCAATCCAAGACAAAAACCTTCTCTAGCCTGTGCCTTACCTTCAGTGTCTCCTTCAGGGTGCCACCTTCCTTGATGCACAGGGGTTGACACTCACCGATCCCATCAGTTAAAGGTGGGATAGCTGTCCAAAAGACAAGGGCACTTCAAGGGCTTGCTGTTTGCTAAGAAATCCCTGTTGCTAAAAAGCCCACATAGTCTTTTTGTGTCTGGATAAATTTTTCACGTTGAAAACTCTCACCAGCCCGGGAAGAGGCGGGGGGGAGCGGCGCCCCCCCCTGCCGATCGCTACGGCATTCTGCTCGGCATGCAGTCCCCAAGGATAAAAGCCTTCCTCTTCGCAGCTGGTACCACAGTGGTCAGCTCTGAAGCAGAGGCCTTCACATCAAACACCTAGCAGTGTCCTGCACAAGCAACTCTGCTGAATGAAGGAAAGGTGAAAGATGTGTTGAGATGACCCAGGATAATTTGTAGATTTGCTGAGCTTTTCTTTCTAAAATGTATTTTTAAGACCTCTCCCCTTTGTGCCTGTTAGAGCTGTAGGAGGTGGTCAAGCAGAGATTCAGGCCTTACTGTATGGGGTTTAGGAGAAGTGAGTATGTACTTTACCAGCAAGGTGCTAAGATGCATGCAGTATGCAATTAGCTACTGAGTAGCATAGCTGTTTCTGATCAACATGGAAGTATATGTCTGGCAAAGAAATTACTTACAACAGTTAATGAAAGATATCTGAAACTGAGGGAGTTGTTATGAACAGGGCAAAACTTGCTACAGGAGTGTTGTAAGTCTCAATCGACCGTCACCCCAAAGGGGAGAGGTATTTGGTAGCCAGCTGTCAGGTCCCACTTGCTGATTTGGTTTCTTTCTGCCAATTCTCAAAGTTTCAAGGTGTTTCTTCAGTTTGTGGAAAGGCTGGATCCTTGGAAGTGACACTTCTTAATATATATGATTTTCCCCTCAGGTTACAAAGGGAAGAGGGGGATGGGGCCTGGTGTCCGGCTGGCTTATTGCAACCAGAAGATGTACAGTTCCTTCAAATTGACCTGCACAAGCTCTTTTTCATCACTTTGATTGGGACTCAGGGACGGCATGCCCGTGCCACAGGCAAAGAATTTGCCCGTGCTTACCGAATTGACTATAGCCGCAATGGAGAACGCTGGATCTCCTGGAAAGATCGTCAGGGCAGGAAGGTGAGTAGAAACTGAATTGTGGAACACGTAGAAGTCAAGTTGTAGAGGAGTAAAAGGCATGTCCTCTACATACTGCCGAGTGCATCCTACTGTATCCTGAAGTGCATCCTACTGTATCCCGACTCTCCTCTCTCAGGCATTCAGCATCCTCTGCCTTGGTCTTGTGTTTGCGGTGACATAGGACTGTTATTACCCTCGCTTGATCCCCCAAATCCCAGCCATCGCCATGACTGAAAACTGTGGCTATTCACTACCTTTGTGTCTATGTGCAAAACATGTGAATGTTCCTCTACCAGACAGACACTTGCTTCTAAATTGGAAACTGTAAAACAGATGCCTGCTTTGTGATCTTAAGAAAAGGGAGGAGGGTAGGAGGGAATGGAGATGAGTTTATGGATTTGTAGGGAGCAATGAGGAGGAAGGAGGTTAGAGGGTAGGAAATGTGCTGAGCACACACCCTCAAAAGAAGCTTCTCTGCTCACCACAGTTGTCTCCTGCTACCTCCAGACTTGAGCACACAGCTCAGCGCAGGCTGTGCTCTGGTCATGTTCATAAGCCTTTATTAAACTTCCCCTGGGAAGGAATCCCCTTCTCTCATCTGCACTAATCTGACCTGATCACCGTGCCTCAGGCTGGCTTGTGGAGTCTGAAGACCTAAGGCAGACTAGAAGGGTACTGGGTGTGGTGATGTTTTCTAGCACTGGAGGTGCTTTGGAAGTCAGTGGGGTCTGTATTGCAGTATTAGGCAACAGCTTCTAGCTTGTTAATGTATTATTTGCTCATGCAGCCCTTTAATCAGCTATTTGGCCATTACCATCATTTTGCCCATCCCTCACAGAATCACAGAAACACTAGGTTGGAAAGGACCTTCAAGATCATCAAGTCCAACCATTAATCCAGTGCCACCATGTCCCCTAAACCATGTCCTGAAGCGTCACATCCGCGCGTTTCTTGAACACTTTCAGAGATGGCGACTCCACCACCTCCCTGGGCAGCCTGTTCCAATGCCTGACCACCCTCTCAGTGAAGAAATTTTTCCTAATCTCCAATCTAAACCTCCCCTGGCGCAACTTGAAGCCATACATTTTGGTGTGTGTGCTACAAACACTGTTTGGAGGATGGGAGGGGAAGTTTAAACTCCATAGGGCTAAATGTTCTTTATCGGTACTTTCTTGGGTAAAGTCATCTTTAGCATCTTGAATTATGCCAGAATTCAACTGGTTACACTGTCCACAAGCAGCTAAATACCTCTTGTCTCCCAGTCCTGTGCAGAGCAGTGTTCTTTGGCACTCCAGACTGTGTTCCTGTCAGGTGTTACGATTTAGTATGGGTCAGTTTTTGCAAGATCTCCCTTTTAGGCCATAAGAAGGTAATGAGCATGTATCCAGCTGTGATGCTATGATTTGAGCAATCCTCTCCTGTATATGTGGAAGTCTACGTCTATTCTGTCAGTGTGTGTACCTGTTCCCCATCGCATGAGGTCAAAAAGTTTTCTTTCCTGGTATCCTTAGAGAAGATGCTTCTGCCTGCTGTTCTGGACATGACATACACAATGGGGTGCAATTCTGCCATTTCAGCTTCTCTAAGAAGTGACTTTCCGTAAAACATATTTTTCCAGATGTGCCACCAGTAAGGGGTGAATCCTGTATTTGAGAAGCACTGCTGGCCAAATAATTTGGTAAAAATATCATGTAAAATCATTCAAGCCTTGGAATGAGGTGCAGATGGAGGTCCAAAATCCTAATCTACTTATTACCTCCAGTAATACCTACATCACCTCTAGTCATGCAGTTGATAGATGCCCAGTCACTGATATTTCAGAGTGCAACTATGGGAGCCTATCTTGGCATGTCTCTGTCCAGGGACATCGCATGAATGGCTTCCATCAAAAATAAAAAACAATAAAACAAAAAAAGGCAACAACAAAAAACACCAAATCCCAGCCCTTCACTGGGCTGCTGTTTCAGATCTCACAGGATGTTGGGTCATGAGACCTGTAGCATATTCTGCTTCTTGATGGAAATGTCACTAGCTAGCTCTCATTTGCTGAGTAGAGGCAAAGGGTCAGGTTACTGTCCCCCTGTCCCTGACACCTGTTAAGGATGGTGCTCTCCATTGGCACTGATGTTGCATGGTGCAATGCTGTTGAGTCCTGGTCCCTCATCAACTTCTGGTATTGGCTGCCTGCAGTTGTTTGCCAGCAGCACTACTTCATTCTTGATGCTGGGAACAGTAGTTGGCATCAGTAGTGGCCAGGACTGGAAACTGATACTGGGTTTGTTCCACATAACAGCTAATTCAGTTTGGGGTTTTTGGCCCTTGAGAAACTGTGCTCAATAGCAGCAACCCCACCTTGTGGAGGTGCTATGCAAAGTGCATCATCTCTTTTGGTTCTCATAAGGTGTCATAGAATCACAGAATCATTAAGGTTGGAAAAGACCTCTAAGATCATAAAGTCCAACTGTCAGCCCAACACCACTGTGCTGACTGAACCATGTCCCGAAGTGCCACGTCCACACGGTTTTTGAACACCTCCAGTGATGGTGACACCACCACCTCCCTGGGCAGCCTGTTCCAATGCTTGACCACTCTCTCAGTAAATAAATGTTTCCTAATATCCAGTCTAATCCTCCCCTGGCACAACTTGAGGCTATTTTCTCTGGTCCTATTGCTGGTTACTTGGGAGAAGAGGCTGACACCCACCTCACCACAACTCCCTTTCAGGGAGTTGTAGAGAGCGATAAGGTCTCCCGTCAGCCTCCTCTTCTCCAGACTTCTCCAGAAACCCAGTTCCCTCAGCTGCTCCTCATCAGATTTGTTCTCTAGACCCCTCACCAGTGTCATTGCCCTTCTCTGGACATGTTCCAGCACCTCAATGTCCTTCCTGTAGCGAGGGGCAAAAAAGTCAGCTCTTCCACTATGGAGCTGGTGCAAAGGTACCTTTTTCTGAGGGCAATGTCTGAAGCTTTCTTCCTCTTACCCTGTCTAGACTGTGTCCATCTAGGACTTTTTGGTTTGATATATCTGCCACCTTAGAGATTCCCTGGCAAGCGATCAACTCTGGAGGATCTGTCCAACTTCGTGTTGAAGACGTGGGATATTCTGCCATATGGTATCTCCTTTTGGGTTTTATCTCCTATCAACAAGGTCTTGTGGAGCCAGCTTAGGTGGCTTCCAGGTCTCCTGTCTTGGTCCATCTGACAGGTGAAAGGGTTAATGGCTGTCACTTGGTTCCTGAAGACAAGGATTATTTATGTGTCCCTACTTCATTGGAAGAAGTCATGGGTGTTTCTTCTAAGCAGAGAGATATTAAGGGGCTGCAGATTAAAAGCCTGTTGAGGAGCTGAAGAAGATGAGAAGCAAGCTTATGTTTTGTCTTTCCTTCTGTTTTCTTTGGTCAGCTGCTGGGACTGTGCTCCTTTGTAGAGCTGTCCAGCCAGGTGCGGGAAACTCACAGTTACCCTGGTGCAGTCCAGAAGACCACCAGATGTGGCTTCAGGAAGATGCTGTCTTCTGAGTGTCTTCCTTTTGTGGTACAATAAAGTCTTTCACTTCTCAATGGACTCTTCAGCCACACTCACTCTCTAGAGATCTATCTTGCTGCCATGAAGAGGAAGCCACCTTTCTGCTCCCTTTGTGGCCTCCCTCGTCTTTTAAATTGCCTGTATGCCAACAACTGCAGTCTACGTGGTCTTTTGACTAACCTCAGCCTCCGATTCACCCTTCCCTTCAATAGCATCTTTGAACAGGAGCCCTCACACTTGTAATTCAGATTTTGATATCAAAAGTGTTCTTATTTTGTTTCTATAGGTCCAAACCCTTAAAAAAAAAAATCTCAAGCGCTTTGTGCCCACTGCTGGGGTATCAACAGCTTCAACTGCTTCCTCACACTGTCAAAAGAAAGAGTGGACTGTTACACTATTTTGAAACTGAGGGGAAAGGGAGGGTGGAAGTCTCAGCAGGATGGGGTGATGTGGCAATGCTGAACACTTCAATTCGAGACATCTGCTGTGCAGCTGCTTGCACCGTCATTCCTCAGACACTGCAGCACCTCTGGAATTTTGCTGGCTCATAGAAAAAGGATATCAGGACCCTCTGCCAGGTAACTAGTGATGAGGGCAAGTGCTCAGTTACCTGCTGTTAGTGCATGTGGAGACTCACTTGAAGAGAGGTTACGTACTAGTAACTGGAGCTCTCTATCAACATATAGTCCATATGTACATTCGTCTGCCACTTGCCTTTCTCCTCTGCCTCAGAGTCCTGCCTGCTGAGGGCATGCAGTGGACAGGAGGTGAAATGGCAACCCCTTTCACCCTGTAAACCACATAGAGGTAGGAGGAGCGAAGCAGCAGCAGCTAATTGTCTGCAGATACTGCATGGGAAATCTCTGCAGCCTGAAATGATAGGGTACAAGTACACCACTGTTCATATTAACTGCACAAGAGGGAGAAGTTACTGATAAGGAGCTCTCCTCTCCAGGTGATCCAAGGCAACATTGATACTTATGACGTGGTCTTGAAAGATCTTCGGCCTCCCATCATTGCACGTTTTATCCGGGTGATTCCTGTGACGGAGATGCCAATGACTGTCTGTATGAGGGTGGAGCTCTATGGATGTGTCTGGTATGGTAAGTAGCAATTTCCATGCCTGTCACTGGAAAGTAGTCCTTACACAACACTGACTGGGACTTACCTGCGTCCCCACGTATGCAGAGGGAATGCCAGGCCCACGGAACTGCTTCTATTGGTCCACATCATAAATAAAAGGATCATATGGACAGAGATGATGGAAGGCTGCTGCTGCTGTATTTCTGAGGTATATGGCCTTCTTTTTTTAGATGGTTTGGCATCCTATAGCATCCCTGAAGGAGGGACAATAGCGGTTCCTGGCTTCCCCATCGTTTATCTGAATGACTCGACCTATGATGGCTACCAGGAGCGCAGGTGGGAGAAGTTGTCCTGTTCTCTCTCGGTCACTGTGCAAATTACCTCTTTTTCCTACTTACCCTGTCTCTAGTATCTTGTATCCCAAACACTTCTTTGAGACCTTCAGAGCTGCAAGCTAGTCTACTAGTTCTCCCAAGCATGGTGGCTTCATTGTTCCAGGCCCTTTGACGTGTTGTTAGTTGCTCTTTAAAGGAGGGCATGGGCTCAAGAAGCATCAGACTCGTTTCCACCAGCTGGCAAAGGCTGGCACGGAAGAAATAATTTTTTTGTTATTGGAAGTTGTTGTTTTTTTTAGAGAGAAGAGTGTGTCCTTATACAATTAAGTGCTGTCCTTGTTCATAGCTTCCATCTTTACATGATGTGATGACACAGTCCTGATGTGTCTGATTGTCTTATTAAAGCCTTCATTGCTCTTGGTCTCTAATTGTGACCATATTCATTGCACTGATTTCTTTGTTGGTTCATGTATAGCCTTAAGCTGTTGTTGATGCTGCAGATCGTAAGGTGCTGCTACTCTTCTGTTGCCCCGGATTGGAGTGGGAGAGCTGGCTGGACCTTCTACCTGCGCAGTCCCAGTGTCCCTGGAGCAGATGAAGGTCCTTCCCCTCTTCATTGCCTTTGCTGTTTCTGGAGTTTGATATCTGAAATGCATTCTCCAGCAGACTGCATCTTAAACTGTTGCAGGAGGTCTCCAGGGTAAACTGGGCATCCATGACAGTGCGCAACACCTGAACTCTAGGCCTGCACTTGATACCTGTGAGCTTCTGGACAGATTTGAGATATTGTTTTTGAAAACAAAGCTCTGATGGACTTGAAACAACTTGGAAAACTGCATCACTCCCTGTGAGAAGCTCCAGGTCAGCAGAGGCACCACTGCCAATGCGGTATGAGAGGAAGGTGTACTCACTGTAAAGATTTCTTGGGTATGATGCTTTTCCAATTTGGAGTCAAAAAACCTAAGTAACTGGATTGTGACAGCTCGTTAAAAGGTCTGTTAATTTTTCACATTGCTGAGATTAGGTAGGGTGGCATGTTACTGACAATTTGAGGTGTCTCTGGTTTACATACTAATTCACTCTTATGGGATGAGAGTTCATTAAGAGCCAGTATTTGAAATGTTAAATAAGTGGCTGAACTCTCATTTAGTGTGACCACTCACTTTGCTGTAAATACAGATCTGAATGTGTTTCAAAGGCTTGAAACCTCAGACAAACTTGGGTATGGGTATCCTCTTGAAGGAGCATATCCCTGCCTGTGCAAGAATGTGCCTAATAAGTGATCTGACGGTGTCTTTTCAGTGACCTGGTGTCATTTATTGACTTAAGGTGCTTTCATTGTATCTCCTGTTTCAGTTGTCGTTAACTTCCTGAAAATTTTTACTGTTGCTTAAAAATGTTTATGCTTGGAGGTGATTTTTGTAAACTTACTTGTGTTCTATTGTGCTGGATGTTAAAATAACGGGGTGGAAAGTACATTCTTTATGCTTGTAGGATGTTGCAAGATACCGGGTAACAATATCTTTATATGTTAATATGGGATATTTTCAAGCTGCATTGATATAGTAGGGATTGGATATTAAAAAAAGCGGGGGATGGAGAGGCAGGGTCTTTTATGTGCAGAAAGATGTAAGCATTGGACTTAGCTGTCCAGCACCAACTTAGGAAGCTGGGTCTGCTGGGGAGTGTCAGGGAGCTACAGATGCAGGCACGAGACTCAACGTGCTAAGCAAGGAGTCTTTCAAACACCTCTAGGTCATGTACCTGACTGGCCTAGAAGCAGGACTCTGCCTCTTCCAGCTGCTAATCCTGTTCTGGAGTTCCAAGGCATGCCTACCTGTGCAAATCCTAGTGACAGGAGGGCTCACCTGGAATGGACTTGGGGACCTTCAGTGTATGTAGTGGCAGCCCAACCCGGGTTATAAAGACTGCCTAGAGGTAGTGTGAAAGAAATGGGTCCAGGGAGCAAGTTCAGGCACTAATACAGCTGAACTGTTTGCCCTTTCCCTGCTTATAGCAAAAGGGACATGCCAGGGATAGCTCCCAGAAGGCAGATGGGTCAGGATTGTACCACATCCAGCATCTTCTATTCCAGGATAGTGCTGGAAAATTGTATAGCGGGCTCTGCACTGTTCGATAGGAAGTGGAACGAGGCAGGGTCCTAGGTGAAGAGTCTGATCAGCCTTGGAAACGGAGCCAATAATGCTCTCCTCTAGCACGAGGAACAGTGCCAGAAATTATCCCAGTTAGAACTGGCTGTGGCTGGGTGAGCTGCTCATGGTCTCACTGCTCTTTTTCCTGCTTTTCTGTGCCTGCCTACAAAACTTTCCCCACTGGTTCCCCCAGGGTAGCATGGAGCAGTGTTCTTCCCATGCAGCTGCATGGTGAAATGCTGCAATTAAAGCTCTCTGGAGAGCGTACAGTGTCATTTTCTGTAGTCTGTTTTCGTTCTCAAGAGACTCTTCTTGTAGCTTGGCTTTGCTGTCAGTGCTTGATCTCAATGCAAAAACTTCTGCCTTCTCCCAAGCAGGGAAAGGTTTTACAAGCCCAGCCTGAAAAAACTAAAGGTGATGTTGCATAAGAACAGGGAAGGAGTTCTTGTCCGGGAGAGCTTAAGAGTGTAAACAAACTAATGTTTTCCTAGTATCAGTTGAAGGGCCGTGTGCTTTCACATTTGAGCTCTCCTGGCTGGTATTCTGCTTAACTGTTGGTTCTTCCTTGCTAGGCACTTGTATGGCGGTCTGGGCCAGCTGACAGACGGTGTGCTAGGACTGGACGACTTCACACAGAGCCACCAGTACCGCGTGTGGCCAGGCTATGACTACGTTGGCTGGAAGAACGACAGCTTCAGCACGGGATCTGTTGAAATGGAGTTCCAGTTTGACCGACCGCGGAACTTCACTTCCATGAAGGTAGTCAGCGTTGTCCCTCTGCAGCAGCCTGAGGCAGGCTTTGGATCTGGATGCTTCCAGATTACCCCTTTGGGTCCTCTTCCCAGTGCAGGAGGTTATAAGGTGCCCAGCAGCAGAGCCCACGAGAGGCAGATTTTTAGCAGGAGGTGTCCCAAGTTTGCCATTGTAGAAAGGCGAAGCAGGAGAGCACTTGTCTTTCCAGAGTTCAGATACTCTCAGTATTTGCCTTAAAGGAATTAAAAGCAGACACCTGAAACAGTGCTTAGGCAGCAACTGAGATGGATTTGGGATGTAGGCTACTTACTGTCTAGGGCCTGCCTGACCCTTGAGGTGAAGGAATGTGGCTGTGCTTCCATTTTGACAAAAAATTTCTTTGGATGCCTCAATCTATGCTTGTGCTGTGAGAAATTACTTAAACGCACAGAAACAGGATGAGCTGAACTTTTTGAGTCTGTAGTAAACAGTAGAATCTTTAAAAAGGATTGGTGGCTTTTCTTGTAGAGATTTCAAATGAAGAGGAACCCACCACATCCTTAAGTAAATTGTTTTGGTGGTTACTTACCCTAGTTTTATTTTTCTATTTTTAACTTGCAACCGTTGGCTCCTAGCCTGCTTTTGCTGGCAAAAATGAGAGTCCTGCCTTCTCAGAAATTTTCCTTCTGTAGAAGCAGAAATGCTTCTACACTGTGATTAAACCACTCTCTTAATCTTTGCTTCAGTAAACTAAGTTGGCTGAACTTCTCAATGCCTTCCCTGTGAGATCCAGGGTCATTTTTGTAGCTATCTCCCAGTCCTTCATTTGTTTGCCAGTACTCTTCTGGAGGTATAGAAACTGGAACTGGATGCAAGCTTTCCGTCAAACTGCATAAAAGAATGGTAGCAATTTTCTGCTTTTGGACAGTTTTTCTTTGTTTATGAATCTTGTGATCATACTAGTCCTCCTAGCCAACGGATAGGGAGCCAGTTCGTTAAGGCTTTGGTATCATGCTAAAAGTCAGTTCAAAGTTATTGGTGTCCAGGATGAAAATCTGGACTGGATGCAGAAAGCATCGCTTACATTTTATTTCTGAGTTTACTATCCTGAAATGAGTCAGTCCCAAAAACCTGTTCAGTTCAGATAATTTGAGGAAACTTCAGGGGGTGTTTTTCCTACTTAATTTATTTTATTTCTAGTGATTCTGCTGTCTTTTTCAGAGCATTGAAAAAGGTAGCAAATAACCTTGAGCTAGGA